ATGCTATCAAAATCGTTTGTGGGAACCTAAGTTATCATTTATATGTACTTTTCACTCTATCTGTGGTTGGACAGGAATTATGGTAAGTTGAAAGGTTATATCTAAGTGGATTTCATGTATATTGGCACTGATTGGTTCAGTGTGCTATGGGTTGTGTGAATTAAATGTACAAAAATATCTCAACTTTAATAATATTGTGCCATTGTCTACTTAGCTGATTGATAGGATAACAAACAAAGGTGGTTGGCACGATTATTGCAAGTACAGTGCAGTGGAGAAGGCAATTACCCGTTTAAGTTGCCTTGTTGTTCCAATTAATGCACTAAATCATTACACGGTATGATTACACGCATGAGTCGCGGTGATTATGAGAACTGAATTTATTCAGCTTTATTATCATTATTATGAATCTATTGTCTGTTTTACAATTTCCACTGACTGTATACTTAATGCTGCAATATTTTTGATCACCAATAGTGGAGATGAATTTCTCCTGAGATTTCCATTTAGACAAAGCAGTACAGATGCGCTGTGGCGATTGCATTTTCTAGTTTGCATTATATGACATTATTATCCTCATCAACACAACAGATCTGTGTACTTTACAATAGTTGAAGTGTTTCTCTATGTCGTTAACACTGTGCATAGCTGTTTGGAGTTCAGGCATGTTCAGCTTATATTTGATGCCTATAGTCTCCTAAATGTGAAAATGGGATTTCTGTAGGATTCACAAAACCGTGTGGACTAGACATTACTGAGATTGTGGATTAATTTCTAAGTTACACATTTGCAATACTTCATTCCATGTAAAAGTGTTTGGTGTGAAGTTGATCTGCAAGTAAGCTTGATGAGAGAATGACGCCTCAGTAGTATGGATGTTTCGGAGATTGTCTTGAAATTTGCGCATAATCCTCTAGTACCGGAAAACATTTGATGTCTATTTATGTATACGGCGTTGACATAAAAATCAGCCGTAGACTACAAATACATTTATCTGCATGAGATTTTACTTAGTGTTAACAGAATCAGTATATTCATAGTATACGCTAATATGTAGAATTATCTCTTTTTTACTTCATGTTATGCTAGTTCTTACATGTACTTTATTTTTTCCAGGTATACGGAGGTTGTCGAATATGAAATCAGCGGAAATATCATCCGGTCAGACTAAGGTTAATACTCTTCATCAGAACTTTCTTTTGTAAATTAATCAAATGTTTAATATACTCTTGATTTCTTCTTCCTGTAGACTTTTCCAATTCCTTGCCATACTATGTGCTTTTGTAATAAGTGAATTAGGAATAATTAACGCTAAGCTTAGTTGGTGGGATGGAGATTTACTGTAGTATTTTGAGACTGTTACTTTGGTCATTCATAGGATTTCGTGTCTGTTTCTACACAATAGCACATTGTGAATGCGAAATGGGATTTAGCAAGTTGAATAATAATTCTGTACTGTTCAATGCGCTAAAGTCTCCTTATCTAGCCAGTTGCAAGTCTGTATACTGTTAAACGCCAAGTATGTGGTACAAGTAAATGTAGTAACTTAGGCTTGATAGCTGCTTCACTAATCTGTTAATATGCAGTGACATCATCAAATAGACTGTTCACTTGACAATGAGCTAAGAAACAGTTTTTATTTATTTCTAATATACTGTTGAATCATAGGATGTTATCTAATATCCATCATTTCTATGATCAACAACTGCGGTATTTCCATATCTACTTTATAGATACTAAATAACCTACACATGTATGCATTTAATTACCTCCAGTGTTCCCTATTCATTTGGTGTGTGTACGCTAAGCAAGTCTTTCATAAATTCTCCCAAAAATGCCAAACTTTCTAGTGTTACAAGTGTTAATAAGACCTGCTTCCTTTGTTTCGAAACAAATGACGTATATACGAACTAAGGAAAAGTTACTCTTACTTAATCTCCAACCTTCATTTAGAGCCTTTAACGATCCCAAACAGTTCTCCTATAAACACAGTAGACGTACTTTAGATGCAGCTGCAGTCTTGCTTCACAACATTTCCTCCAGTATAGACAATGGGGCTAAATTCGCTGCATCTTCCTAGATTACACATCTGCTTTCGACTCAGTACCTGGAGATATTCTGTTAGATAAGCTCGCTGAAACCCAAACTGAGTGTTGGATTGTTAGATGGCTTCATTGTTATTTATCAGGGAGAAAGCAGTACACTGTAGGTCAGGGGGAAGTCGTCCATTACCAATTGCAACTGATGTTAGCTCATGATTAAATCCTCCAAGCAATTGCATTTTTGTTTGACGAACTTGATGCACGGAAGCATACGAAAAGAACTTTTTCAAGCACGCCGACGATCTAACCATTTTAATGTCTGTTAACTGCCAGCTACACTGTACTAAGATGAACAGTTCTCTATTAGAAGTCAGAAAATGCTCCTAAACTGAATCCTTCGAAATGTCAGACTGTTATTTTCAGTTTCCGATGTAAACGAAAGTTAGGTGGTGTTAATTCCTATGACCGTTGCAAAATTGATAACAGTGATATGGAAATCAAGTGTTACTTTAAGTGTCTCGGACTAATTCATCACAGTGTATTGGCACTAAATGTATGCCACATACAGGCATAATGTTTGTGAGCTAGGTATGCAGATCAAGGTAAACGCTTATACGGCACATTCATTATTTATAAAAGTAACTCGTACGTAAGAACTATGGTTTGATCAGTTATACAACGTTTAATACATTCAGACACAACTAACCTACGATGCTTACTTCTATGATGCATTACCTAAAGCTACGTAGTTACCTTAAAGTGGCTTCCGCTGAAGGTAATCTCCTATAGCTACTACCTTAGTGTGCAACTTAACGTTATCTTCAAATAACGAAGTAAAAGCGGAAATCCTGAGAACTTTCGTGGTGAAAAGATCGTCTCCTACTCCAAAAAATTAAATACACCCTAGCCTCCACAAAAACATTCAGAGGTATCCACCCTATCACCTCAAACGACTCACTATTTGCAGTCATTTAAAAAGTAAAAATAAATTTACCGATGACAGCTTGCTTATGATTTCTAGATATCATAATGTACCATGAGGAAAACGCTATATCCATGCGGTTATAACAGTTAGATGCGCGATATTAGTCAGAAACACAACAACCACAATTCTCAGTCACAGAACATCCTACTTCGCTACCTAATCGTATCAACGGATATTTCGCCAAAGAAAAGAAGACTACTGGTTCAAGGAAAATGTATTTAGTTTTTTTTAAAGACCATGGACATCAGTGTTTATAGCCACGGAAAAATCACAACTTAGAGGAAATCACCGGTCGTAGATTACAACCCGAAATGTCATTCTTCTCAATTAATGTCTTACCGTTAACTGGGATAGACCGTACACTCACCAGATCGTCGTATTCTATCCGCTTTGAAAACCGTCTTGCAAAACATCGAATGGATGTTACGGGCAGTCCTAGTTCATGTATTTGGATCTAGTACATCAAGCAATAATAAGCATAAGTAACACTTACCCTTAAGGATTCCGGTTTCTTTTAGTTCCCCAAAATACACACAAGCACAACAGATTCATACTTTTCATGTGGCTCAACCTTATTTGACTTAGATTCTCTCACAATACATTTTTTTAAGTGATAGCAGACACGCTGATGGTATATTCACATTCTCAAAAAGCTTCAAAGCTTTTTCAACTTCAACCCAGGTTCTAAATTCTCCAGGATTATGTTCTTTGAAAACCTTGCCAATATCAACTTTGATCGTGCCCACCTCACCAGATTTACTGGTAAATTGTTGCATGCTGTAGACATAAACGTGAAAGACATTAGTTTCCCAGATTTCTACATGTTAAATAACCAAATGAGCCAGCAACAAAACCTGCAACCAACAAATGGACTGGAAACAACTGCTTCTACCAGCCAAACATCTTCATGTGCATGATTTCCAAAACTTCTACACATTGACAATTCATTAACAGCTGAAAACCAACTAAAACACTGAAAGCCGCATAAATACAAGGTATGAAACAATTACACCGAAATGAATGCACTGACCTGGTAGTGAAAACTTTCCAAACCAAAAAATAATTCATTTTAACAGCAACGGAAACAAAAAATGAGGTGAAACGCAACATTTGTGAACAATACGCAACAAGATAAGCCGTGTATAACGGCAGGATAAACGGAACAACAAACGCGTACACGAACAGCTACGGAGCTGCAATCCAACATGGCCGACTTACATGGACGAAAATGACCTTCGAGTGTCTCACTCCACCAATGACCTTTATAAGTTACGGATAATTTCAGCCAAACATCCATGATTACTTCCGCAAATGATACAGTCAGCTGATTCCTTGCTCAAGGTCACTTTCTGTTCGAAGGTCGTTTCGATTTGGGCCGCTATTATTTAGAGTCACCACAATCTGAGTTCAGATGCATAAAGGTGGCATAATAATTGATAGGTACACTAAAACATTGCAAATATGATATTCTACTATATTATTATCGCTCATGTGCTGTAAGAGTGTCTCTCAGTCACTTCACAGATGATCTATAGGAAAATCATGACATGCACAATAGATGCAGTCATCTAGGTGACTGTAGATTATGACCATAATCTACAAGCACCTAGTAAATAACAAGGATACTGTATCTCACCTCTACAGACTCAGAGAGTCAGGCATGATTTGATTTAGAAAGACCTTTCATAGCATTCCTGTGTCTAAATGGTTCTTGAAGATCAATTTTTAAAGGTCTTGATGCTTTGAATTCGCCCATTTTCGGTTTTATGTTGTTGGACGTCCCTACTTCCCCAAATTCTCTGAATGATATGTCCATGCAATTGCAACCTTTGGTACATGACTTGATATCCTCTACGAGAATTCCGCTTTATTAGTTACGATGTTCTGTTGTGCCTAGTGCTGTGGTGCATGTTGGGTTAACACCAAGTTTTTTCAATAGAAGTCAGAGAATGCACCAGGGCAATGTGGCTTAAGCGGGGGCTTAATGGGTAATTTTAGTCGGCAAGTAGGTGGGCAAAAGATGGCGTAACTGCTGCATAGTTTTTCCCCGTTTGCCCATGTCCCAGAAAATTTTATTTTCCCCTTTTCCCAGTTTATCCACCTTTACAACAAACACTTTGCCCACATTTCCCCGCTTTACCCATGCCATTTTCTAAAATAACCCACTTATTCCCACTTCACCCATGTTACAACCGAAAACAGCCCACCATTTTCCACTTTCCCCAAATCTGAACGGAAAACTGTACACGATTTTACCCGCATATCCCAGGTCCTGGAAAAATTCACCGACTGGGCCACCACCTCAAACATTTGTGTTAAGAAATTCTTTAGTTTTCAGTTTTCCAGGTAGCTCTGGCTTCGAAGTACTGCAGAAACTTTGGGGAGCAGACTGCAGATAACTGTCCCATTTTCGCTATTGTGCTGGAAGAATATGCCCCCGGAAATATTGCAGTGAGACGGAAGAAAATGCTAGTTGGGTCAATATGTAGGTTAGAGTCAGTTATAATTATGGAGCATAAGAATTAAGCTAGAGGTGGAGTGTTTGACCCTGCTAAGTTAATTAGTCTAGAAGAATGCCCAGTCCTTGTGATGCATTCACATACATGTGATCAAACGACGAGCTGGTATGGGTTGAAAGTAATAGACAGTAATCTAATGCTAGGATAGATAACAGATGATTGTTAGCGTGAATTCATGATTGGTGCGATCTAGCGGACATCGATTATTCATTGTTAAAATTTCCGTTGATTCGTGAAGGTTATATACTCGGTATTGTGAATAATTAGGCTATTGTTGTCGTACTTATCGTGGTTAAATCTGACATTTGTGTGCCTCCTCGGTATGGGGAATATTTTGGCGCATTGCAGCCAACATAGGCAGCAACGAATAAAAAGCAGTAACGCTCGGTTACCACATTTAGTTAAGTAGAGTGAGAGATTAATCACTTTACCTCAAATCATCGAGTCACCACCAAACACTTGAACACAGGGATGATGTAACACCCATTTGGGATATATAAAGAATTGCAATGAAACAAGTTATGAAATACTGGGAATACTTGTTGACATAGTTAGGGCAGCAAATTGTGCTATAAATGTCATCTAGCAAGGATTTGATGAATTCGTTAAATGTCGATAAAATTAGTGTGTGTAGTACGCTGATTGTTGAATAAATAAATTACGCTAAACCAGTCATGGAAAGCGATAGGTGCTAATGTTTTGCAAATCAAGTTCAAATGGATAGGGGATATGGGGTATGCAAGAATAAAATAAAGGTAATGCATTGTGGTACAGTTACATCACTTAAATAAACAATCAGTTATCAGAGAAAGAAATTAAGATTGTCAGGAACTTCAAACTCTGTATGAACAAACAAATAAGGTAGTGGTACTGTCAAAAAGTATGTTTAGATGAATCAAGGATAATAATGAGATGGAATGAAATATTAACACCAGTAATATTCAGTCAGTAGAAGGTACTATCATGGTCGATACGAAGAGACCAGGATTTCCTTCTGAACACAGTTTACAAACTCGGTCTCTGCGTAGGTGACTATACGTTTGAACCTATGTTTAGAATCAAATTCGTCACCTGCATATTGTCCAGTTCAACGTGAGAAGTCACGATATTTCTCTTCGGTTACCAAAAATGTTCAGATCACGCGTGTTGTAGCCGCCTCAGTTATCATGTAGCACTCACGCCAAGCCACCGCGTACCTTGATGAACAATGTTAGCTGACTTCAGGTTCAATTACAAGAGTTGAAGATGGTTAAACCAAAGCATGGTACCATCATCTGAGGATTTTAAGTGTTGGTCTGAGCCACATAGGGAGGGGAAGACGAACTTGTTGATATTCTTGAGATGATTAGAACCAATGGCCAGTGACTATCAATGATATAGATGAGAACTGTTTTCAATAGTGCAGATGCATTTACCTTTCTGTAACATCAGATCCATTACATCCTCATTATTCACCATGTAATTATTCTTTTTCACACTCATTTCTCCCCGTTATGGTTCATTTGATGTTTTTTCTATTTCTTCACCTTTGTGTTCTGTATGGACTTTGGCAACTTAAACTACAGCAGTCCCGTTCAAAGTTCTACGTTCAAAACTGACTATGTTAGCCAGTCAGTGATGCTATAAATGGTAATCAAGATGGCAGGCTGAATAGCGTGATACTACTGCTACTATTCCTCATTGATTCATATGAGTATTAGGAAACCAATCAAGTCAAACAGTAGTGCTTGCTAGATAGATCTAGACACTGAACAGCTGTTCCGTTCCTTTGGGACGGAGTTCATCAGAAGCGTATCCGGTTCGAATCTGCTGACAGATATGTATCGCTTCAATGCGACTATCAAGCACTTTGGCTTAAAGTCACTGGTTTCCAACTACTGATATCAATCAGTCAATCAATAGTATATACTCGGACCTGTCTCGCTTGCATTACATGATCTAGTGAAGTAATTCATTACTATCTTAGGGTGAGCAATATTGAGGTTAGGCGTCGAGTGTTAGGTAAGGAGGGGAAATCAATCGATGAGGCTGTGAAGCTACACCTGTTGAGATACTTAGGACATGTGTTACGCGTGCCTAACCATCGATCGCCGTCCTCGACGGGTAATGTTAGCTGGCATAGGATTGATCAAGCTGGAAAAGAGCTGGTTAGTGGTGGTCAAACCAAAACACAGCTTCATCAGTCAATCAAATGCACAACAGTTAGTTTAAGCTAGTCACGTAGGATGGTGTCGATTTCCTGTTTGGGGTCCTCAAGATGGTTAACACCAATGAAGGCTGGAGATAATTGTTGATATGGGTCGAAATCATTCTTAGTGATGGCACAGAGGTATCCATTCTTCGTGACATAATACCCAATTAAACTATATTGTTCTTCGATATTACTATTCTTTCTGCCTCAATTCTCTGTTTCCTGTCTCTATTTTGCATTTCCTCGTACTTTCTTCTCTTGCTTTGTGTACTACATGGAGTGTGGCGACTCGAACTAGTGTACATCTGTGTAAAGTGCTACGTTGAAACCACTCAGTCAGTCACTGTCTTAATTTAAAAACTAAATTACTATCCTGTACATGTATATTTATATATTACTAGGGAATTCAGTGCATAAATCTGTCGACTGGCACATATTGTCTTACATATAGAATTGTTATGTTTTTGTCCTTTCTATAAATTATAGATACAGTTACCCTTATGGAGCGCGTAAATGCGGAAGTTAAGATTTTGTCAACTGGGTTAAAGTATCTTTCACGTTATGTGACACAACAAAAACGTCAGTTAGATTCAGCAGTAAGTCTACAACTCATGTTATTTTCTTTTGGTTGTTTTGTGTTCACGTTTAGTTATCAGACGGTCTGTGCTTTTCTACATATCAATCACTGTCAACGTTTGGTATTGTATTGTTCTTATAAGTGGTGTTTCCCAAATTACGTCATCCTTGACGTATACTTGATATTTGGCTATTGATCAAAGGATGTGTGTACTGTGCAGTAGAGTTCTTTCTTGACCTCTTTTTGTGGTTGTGACACATGGTCATTGGAAGTAGAAGACTTGGGAAGGGTAGTTGTTTGCGCTCTATCTCCCGTGTTCATTGGTATACTATGGTGAGTTATATTTGGGTTAGGTTGAGTGTTAGGTGACGAAGGAAAGTCAGTCAGTCGGTCAGTCAGTCAATGAGTTTGTGAAGTCATATCGATTGAGACGGCTAAGACACGTGTTACTCATGCCAAATCACTGCTTTCCTCAGTAAGTAGTGTTAACTAAGTTTACATTGAAAAGGAATGATAGGGTGGTTAAACCTAAACCCGTCATCAATCTGTGGAGTACTTGACAGTTGGTTTGAGCTACATACAGAGGTGTAGACTGTATGGTTGGGATCCTTGAGATGCCAGCAACAAGTGGCTACAGACTGTTATTAATATGGCTCAAAACCGTTGTCTATAGTGCAGGTGCGTAGCCTGTATGTAATCTCCTCGATTCATTTAATCTTAATGTTTTCCCATATTACTATTCCTTTCTGCCTTTCATAGTTTTGTTTCTTTCCTCTAACCCTTTGTATGCTACATGGAGTTTGGGAACTTGAACTAGTACATTTGTGTAGAAGGTTCTACTTCGAAATTCAGCCAAATCAGTGTTATAAGTTCGTGTGGATTCTGATATGTAGTGCTTATACAATTCGCAAGTCACTACAACGTTTTGTTGCACACCGAATCCTAACTAATGAATGATTGATTTTTTACTAAACCGAATATTACTTTGTAAGTTATTTAGACAAATGCTCGTACTATGCGCTATGTCGTGAATTGGGAGAAGTTAGAATTCATGGGCCATCGGATCGGGTCCCAGTGGTTTAATAGTATATGAGCTCGCCTTGTAACCAGAAGGTCCTGGGTTCGAACCCCACACGGTGAGTGCGTACAGCTGAAGAGTCCCAAACTAGGACGAAACAGCTGTCCAGTACTCCCAGCTGGTTTTCCAATGGTTCTCTAACCAATGTCAGTCCATGGTGAAATCCTGTAACCAATCAACCACATCCCTACAAACCTATACTAAAATGCTTGTACTTGTGGGATTACAATTCATGCCAGGGATTAGAGTGACTGACTGTATGTTTTCAATATAGCTATTTGCACAGAAGTGCAACAATTGGAGTTGCCACATTCTATGTACCACACAAAGCATGAGAAGAGAGTTAAGGGAGGTTCAAAAGGGAGATAATAAGTAGAAGCTAATCACTGACCAAATTTTATTACACGGGTAATGATAGGATCCCACATATTTTGGTATTGACTGTTTAATCTTGCATATATGGTATGTTATCATTCTCACACATTTTGGTATTTACTGCTAATCTTGTATATATGGTATATTATCATTCCCACACATTTTGTTATTGACTGTCAATCTCGCACATATGGTACATTATCATCTCTCACGCACTTTGTTATTGGCTATTAAGATAAATTATTTCAAATGCTGTTAGCTGTCCATATTGTTGTAAAATGTATAAATACCATGGCTTTCTTTGTCGTTGTTGCACTTCAATACACAGTCACAGTCCAGCCTTTGTCTTTTGATATTTGCGTGCTTTACTAAATCGGAAGGTACGACAAGCAGATAGGCAGATTAGTTCAGGCGCAGACATAGCAAGGTGAAAACGTCTTCATTCAATTCCTTGCAGCTATAACAAATTGGTGACGGGGTTTACCTTAATTCATTGCAGTTATAGCAAGCAAACGACGACAGTTTTTATTCTGTTCAGCGCAGCTATAGAACATTTTTGACTGTGTTAATTACAACCCAATTACAATGTCTATCTCTCTGGACGATCTCAAATCTATCTTGCAGCAGCAGCAGGTTCAGAATGAAGCAGCTCAACTAAAATTAATCGAAGCTCTCACTCAGAAGCTGTCCATTCAAGTTCCATCAACATCTCATTCTGACAAATATGAAAGCATCTCAAATTCTAGCAGTGAGTTCAACTACGATCCAATATCTGGTCTCGTATTTGATGCATGGTTCAATCGTTACGAAGACGTCTTCCGTATTGAATGCTACATGTTTGATGATCCTGCCAAAGTCCGATTGTTACTAAGAAAACTTGGTACTGTTGAGCACAACAGATATGTTAACTTCATTCTGCCCAAGAACCCACTTGAGTTATCATTCGATGAGACAGTCACCGTTCTATCACAAATCTTTGGTGAACAGTCATCCATGTTTAATATTCGGTATCAATGTTTTCAGTTGACGAAAATGCCTTCCGATGATTATGTGACTTACGCTGGCAAAGTGAACAAGGAATGCGAAAGGTTCAAACCACACGAAATGACATCAGATCAGTTCAAGTGTTTGATTTTTATTTGTGGGTTGAAGAACCCAGAAGATACTGACATACGAACTCGACTTCTGTCACTCGTGGAACAAGACCCGAAAATGACCTTACAAATGGTGACAGCAGAATGCCTACGTTTAATCAACTTGAAGCACGATACTGCTATGGTGGAGTGCAAACGGCAGTCGTCTGAATTTGGTTCGATTAACACAGTGAAAATTCCTCCGATCACCGTTAAGCACACAGAACGTCAGTCTCAAAATTCAGCTAAACCTCCTTCAGTGTGCTGGCACTGTGGTTCGTGGCATTTTGTCAAGTTCTGTCCTTTCAAGAAACATAAATGCCGTAATTGTCACCGTTTTGGACATAAGGAGGGTTACTGTGCACCGCGGAAAAATTCTTCGGTGAGGAACAGAAGTAGTCGTTTCAAGCCGAAACAATCTCCTCGAGTACAGACCGTTTTCACAACTTCCAAAGTCGAGTTCGCCAGCAAACGTAAGCACATAACACTAGATATTTACGGCAAACGTATTCGTCTTCAGTTGGATACGGCATCAGATATCACCGTAATTTCCCTAACTACGTGGCGCAAACTTGGTTGCCCACAGATTCTGCCGACCGAGCATGTCGCCAAGAATGTCTCTGGAGATATACTGAAACTCGTGGGTGAGATAAATTGCCAGGTTCAGTTTGGTGAGCATCACTTCAATGGTGTATGTTACGTTACAAACTACCATGATTTGGATTTGCTTGGTCTTGACTGGTTAGACAAGCTCCATATCTTTAATGTACCATTAAATTCAGTATGCTCTAATGTTTCGTCTTCACCACACAACGTTGTTCCCGGAGATGCATCTGATCAATCTCTCTTGCAACGCCGTCGTCAAAAGCACGCTTCTGTCTTCCAGGACAAACTTGGTTGCTGCAAACTGTTTGGCATCCAGCATATTCGTAGCCCCCCGTATCATCCCAAATCGAATGGACAGACTGAACGTTTCGTCGACGCCTTTAAGCGTGCTTATGCAAAAGCGAACGGGGAGGGAACAACAGAAGAAATTTTGGATAAATTCTTGCTGCATTATCGTACGAATGAAAAAGGACAGTTATGTGGCGGACACACAGATCACGCTCTATCCAGTACCACGCAAAGGTCAACTCGACAAAGAAGAGCTCCGAAACCTTTTCAAATAGATCCAAAAAGCAAGTCCTACACTCTTTACGGGGGGAGGTGATAGGATCCCACATATTTTGGTATTGACTGTTTAATCTTGCATATATGGTATGTTATCATTCCCACACATTTTGGTATTTACTGTTAATCTTGTATATATGGTATATTATCATTCCCACACATTTTGTTATTGACTGTCAATCTCGCACATATGGTATATTATCATCTCTCACGCACTTTGTTATTGGCTATTAAGATAAATTATTTCAAATGCTGTTAGCTGTCCATATTGTTGTAAAATGTATAAATACCATGGCTTTCTTTGTCGTTGTTGCACTTCAATACACAGTCACAGTCCAGCCTTTGTCTTTTGATATTTGCGTGCTTTACTAAATCGGAAGGTACGACAAGCAGATAGGCAGATTAGTTCAGGCGCAGACATAGCAAGGTGAAAACGTCTTCATTCAATTCCTTGCATCTATAACAGGTAAGTTGACCGGTAAAGGTCTCGAAGCTTTATACACCCGGGTATGCGTTGCTCATGCAGACAGCATTTCTGATATCAGATACCACTAGGATACTCCCTGCAAATCTGCCCATTCCATTCACAATGCCTTCTAATAATAATAATGTATATTCTCATATTAACAAATAAATTTACATGAAAATCCATGTTTATAGGTTCGGTTCACTGCCAGAGTCCCATGCTGCTTGTTCATCCTTTCTGACTGGTTATTTGGTTTTTGGTATCGGAATGGCGAAATTAGCTGTTATTCAAGTATTGGTTTGCAGGGATTCGATTAGTTACAGAATTTCATCATGAGCTAACATTAGTTAGAGAATCATTGGAAAATATGGGAGTATTGGACGGCTACTTCGTCCTAGTTTGTGGCTCTTCATCAGCACACACCCACCGGGATTCGAATCCAGGGCCTTCCGCTTACAAGGCGAGCTCGCCTGTCTGTCTGTTTTCGACATAGAACTTTGCACAAATGTGCGGAAGTTCAAGTCGCCACATTCCGTGTAGCACGCGAAGCAAGAGAAGAAAGTACAAGGAAAGCATAATAGAAACAGTGAGCAGAGGTGTGAGACAAAGGAGTAATAAAGAAAAACAAAACAGTTTCATTGGAGATCATAAGTCACAAGGAGTGGATGCATCTGCGCCACTGAGAACGATTTTGAGCCATGTCACCAATTGTTTCCAACCATAGATTTTTACCGTCCCGAGGACCCCAGCCTGGAAGTCTACACCTTCCTACGTGGCTTAGACCAACTGTTGTGGATTTCATTGACTGATGCCAAGTTTTTGTTTGACCGCCGCTAGCTTTTTTCCAGCCTGACCCTATATCCGCTAACATTGCTCGTCGAGGGAGGCGATGACTTGGCATACGTAACACATGTCCTAACCATCTCAGTCTTTGTAGCTTCACGACTTCGTCGATTGATTTCCCCTGTTTACCTAGAACTCTACGCCTAACCTCCATGTTGCTCACCTTATTATGCCACTTTACACGGGAAATAGAACGCAGGCACCTATGATCAAAGACAGCTAGTCTTTTCATGTCTTCCACTCTCAGTGGCCAGGTCTCACAACCATAAAGGAGGACGGAGCGGACTGATGAGCAGTACACCCGCCCTTTGGTCGATAGTCGGATATCACGTCTACGCCAGAGACGGCGTAAACTGGCAAATGCGAAACGAGCCCTCTGTATTCGTGCTGAGATTTCGTCAGAGATCAACCCGTTGGGGCTGATGGTACTTCCCAAATAAGTGAAGCGGTCAACGTGCTCTACCACTTCACTTCCTATTTTTAAACTAGGCGTCGATGTAGTCCAGTCCTGTAACATCATCTTGCATTTGGCGGGAGCGAATCGCATGCCAAACATTCGTAGATTGCTGCTCAAGGTGTTTAGAAGACTCTGCATTTTGTCAGCGTCTTCGCCTAGAAGGACTATATCGTCTGCATATTCCAAGTCAACGAGATTATTCCCTGGTAGCAAGTCAATCCCTGAGTCGCTGAAGTCACTTAGGGTTAAGTCCATTAACACATCTATGATGAAGTTGAATAGAAAAGGAGATAATGGGCATCCTTGACGGACACCACTGGTCGTCATCAGTTCAGATGACAGCTCGCCGTAAGCCCTCACCTGGCTGTATGAGTACGAGTAGAGTGCCTTAATCAGTGCAATATATTTTCTCGGAATTCCCTTTACAGCCAAGCATCTCCAGAGAACTTCTCGATCGACAGAGTCGAATGCTGCCTTTAGGTCAAGAAATATAATGACTGTTGGACGCCGGTAGGAATGCCTATGTTCTAGAATCTGTCGGAGGGTGAAGATATGATCAATACACCCTCTTCCTGGTCTAAAGCCTGCCTGGCTCTCTCGTGTTTGTGCTTCCCGAGCACCACTCAGTCTACGCATGATTATTGAGCCTAAGACTTTAGATACTATATTAGTCAAGCTAATCCCTCTGTGATTATCACAGGAAGACTTGTCTCCCTTCTTGTATATGGGGATAATCAGTGACTTACACCAACCCGATGGGACTTCTTCTGATTCCCAGACGCTGCCTAGTACCTCAGTTAATGCAGACAGTAAGCTGTCTCCACCGTACTTAAATACCTCTGGAGTCATTCCATCAGGTCCCGCTGCTTTGCCTAGTTTCAGATTGGTGACAGCTTTAGTAACCTCAGTTAGTGACGGAGGACCTGTGTCTATATCCCATTCAGGGAGGTGTTGGATGCTCGGAAGGTTGAGCGTGGCTGTGGGCCAATTAAACTGCTCCTCATAATGCTCTTTCCAACGATCCAGTCGTCTATCCTGGGAGCTAATTATAGTGCCATTTTTTTCCGAGATTGTCTCACTAATGATTTGTCTTCTCCCACCCGTTTCCCTGATGAGTCCAAAGAGTTGCCTGGTGTTGCCTATCCTCGAAGCTTTCTCCATCTCTTTGGCTTTTGTCACCCACCACTGTTCACGGTCCTTGCGGAGACTTTTCGTAAGTTTCCTTTTGTGCAGCTTTCGCTCCTCATTGAATTCGGAGCTCGCCGGAATAAGTCTTCTAGCATCTATCAGTTCGGATGAGGCGGTGGAGATCCAGTGGTTTTTACTCACCTTTGGGTTTACCTTATTCACAGCTTTTACAGCTGTATCTATGGCTGCCTGGATATTTTTCCAAGCTTCTTCAGGGTGAGCACAGCTGTCGAACACAGATATGTGTTTAGCTAGTTCTTCCTCAAATACGGATTTAGTTTCCTGATCGAGCTGGGGACGTGATGGTTTTACCGCCAGCTGTTTCCTACGTCCGTTCAGTCGTAAGCACACCCGAGCGCGGACCAGTGCATGGTCGGTATCTACACACGTGTTCCAGAAGGAGCGACAATCTCCTACCGACCCACGCCAACGATAGCTTATTGCTATGTGGTCTATTTGTGTCCAGCGTTGGTTTGATGAAGGGGGTCTCCAAGTCAAACAGTGTCTCTCCTTGTGTTTGAAGTTAGTGCTTACAAGAAACAAATGATTATCAGAACAGAACTGTAGGAGACGGTCACCGTTGTCGGTTCGCTGGCACGGAACTCCATAGGTGCCACCGACATCCTTCTCAGATTGACACAATTTCCCTACTTGAGCGTTAAAGTCACCAGCTAGAACGACTATGTCTGAGCGTTTAGCCTTTCGCACCAAACTAGACAGCCTTTGGTAGAACTCATCCTTCGTTTCATCTGAACTGCAGTCAGTGAGGGCGTAGGCGGAGATTACGAAAAGACATCGGCGAGTAGTGCAGTCCTTTCTCCTTTTTACTGACCCGTTCAGACGGACAGCACACATTCGGCTATCTATCGGGATCCAGTCAAGCAATGTCTTTTCTTTTGGCCAGGTGGGGTTAGGTGAATAACCACACTTGGGTCTTGTATGCGTGTTTCTGAAACACAGCATACATCAATGGTTCGGGATGCCAGGGTCTTGGCTAGTGATGCTTGTTGTCCTATTTGGCAAAGTGTCCTGACATTAGATGCTCCTATATGAAATTGGTGGCGTGGCTTTAGGAGGCTGTCGGTAGTGGTTTTTAGCTTCCATCGTTTTTAGTGGATGCAGAGTGGAGAGGAAGTGGGGAGCTATCAAACCGAGGAGTTGCATCAGTGGAAGAAAGGCAAGATGATAGATATGAAGATGAAAACAAAGATGAGTGAGTAATGGAGAGGTTTCGCGTGCGTTTCGGAATGTGAGGGCGACTGTTACTTCCCGGCTGCCCACACCGTAGATGTTAGTTGCGTGACCGCAGAGCCCAGGGGACAACTGCTTGAGGCCTGTCACACGCGGCCTGTTTTTGTTTGTTCTTTGTTGTTTTGTGTGCTTCAGTAGCATATTTATCACTCGTGCCCTGTGACACGGCAGCAGGAAGCGCGGTCGTTGTTAATCCGGGCCACAGCCGATCCGGCATGAAATTTTGTGATTTTGTATTTATCATGATGTTGGATTGGGTAGCTGCTTTTTGTTTAACCGCTATCCAGACAACCTGCCTGGCATGGTAGGACCTGAAGAGACATAAGTCTCAGCCAGTATAGCTTGAATAGATCATTGCGGTGTTCAAGCCCGACCACCACGTCAAGGTAGCAGCTTTCAGTCGGGCTCGTAGAGCATTATGGCAAAGATAGCTGTTGTCGGGACTGCAAACTAGACTGGGCTAGGTTTATAAGTGGAACCTGGACACCGGCGTGAGCCTGGCGAATATTCCAACAGTGAATCACCACCTCTCAAGTTTAAAAGACAATGTAGTAAAAGAACTTCGTTTTGTAGATTATTTGTTTATATTCGGTTCAACATTTGTTTTCTTCAATATTATCATTATTATTGTTATCTTTAGTAGTATCAACTTTATTGTTTTCGCTTTTACTTCAGTTGGGAAAGATCACTGCACTTGAAGAACAGTTGTCTGCTCATCTGTCAAAGTGTACACCTTCTTCACCGTGTACACAACGATCTATAGGCTGTCAGATATCGCCAAATTCGAAACCTTCAGTTACTCTGTCATCAAGTCGAAAGCATTCAGTCACTTTATCGCCTGACATGAATGATGTCTCTTCTTCTTCAAGAAGTAGTGTCAGCAAATCCTTTAATGGCACAATACAATGGCTTCAAACAGCATCCAATTCAGTGGACAAGGATACACCAAAAATTTCTAACAAACTGGAGATTAATAAATGTCAGGCTGTCAACTCGCTTTCCTCTCAAAGGTAATAATCATCTCTTCATAGTTTTGTTTTAACTTTGTTCTTTTTTTAAAAACAGGTTTTATTTTCTGCTAGATATCCCAACAGTGTGTCTGTGTTAAGGTTGGGATAGGTGGTAGCCTTACTGTCAACCTTCTCTCTTTATTCTGGCCTTACCATTGGCTAGTTAATTAATTATAGACGAGGTTTAGGAGTGTGTTTGAGGTGGGAGTCGAATCCGTGCCATCTGTTTGTGTGGTTGGCGAACATTTCATTGAACTATCGGGTGCCTGGTTTGACTAGATTAGTCCTCTGACTACTCACTGTGTAGTGTCTATTATTTGTTATGTACGGAAGTTTGCGAGTATACTTATTTTACAAATTGGAATGTACGTCTGTGTCTAAACTTGATGCACGGCTGCTGCCTTATGTACAGGTTGAATTCTGTTTATAACCAGAAGTTTATATCTTGTAAAAATGCTTTTCATATATGGAAACTTTTCAAAGAAATTACTAGTGGTAAGCAAATGAATAGTATTCCTTATTCATTTGATGTGTATACACTAAACAAGTCTTTCACACATTCTCCCACAAATGCCAAACTTTCTAGTGTTACAAGAGTTAATGAAACCTACTTCCCTGGTTTTAATACAAATGATGTTCTAAAATGTCTCCAGTCGCTGAACCTTTCTTGTAGCTTAACTCCAGATGGTGTGCCTAGCGTTATTCCTAAAAAATGTGCAGATATCCTTTGTTATCCTCTCAGTGACATATTTAATGAATCTTTTTCCAGAAATGTCCTGCCAGCCGTTTGGAAGAACAATAAAATTGTACCTATACTTAAGTCATCTACTAGAACATGTTTTAAATCTAGACTTGTTGCTGTTACCTCTCCTTTTCTAAAAACTATGGAAAAGTTGATCTTACTGAATCCTTAACCTTCATTTGAGGCCTTTAACGATCCCAAACAATTCTCCTGGACACAATCGGTGATCATAATGGTTCGAAGATTGCCGGGCTGGAAAGAATCACCAACCATGGGAAACTATGGGAACAAACAAAACAAGAACAAACCAATCGCCAACCAACAAATATGCAGGAGAAAGTGGAGATGGATGGATTGGACACTCACTCACCGAGAAGGCCGCTGGGTGACATCGCGCGCGCGTCATGCCATTGCTCGAGTGGAACCAGACCGAAAGGGAAGCGGCGAGTAGGACTTCAGTGCAAGGGTGACATGGAGGAGATCGTGTGAAGTGGAGTTGAAAGAGTATGGACTAACATGGATGCAAGTGAAAAGTATAGTAGAAGACAGAAGGAAGTGAAGACGTGCAATTGAAGACCTATGTTCCACTAGGAACCCAAGGGAACAATAATAATAATATAAAGAGAAGTCCATCGGAAAAAAACATCTAATAGCGGAGAGATAGAGTTGACGTGAGAAATGGCGAATGAACCTGTGTTGTGGGGCGGGGGGAGACATGTAAAGAAGACGAAGAAACGAAATACGAAAGGCAGAAGTAACACAAACAATGATTTTAATATAAGGCGCACACACTTTCCCCATATATGTATGTGTGTGTATATCAAATCCCACATAAACATCCCATTATCAAGTCTGTTGTCTTCTACTGTTAGATTAGTACTCGAAATACCACTTCAAGTATGACGAATACACCGGGGTCGGACTCGATTGTAAAGCAATTTTTAAAATGGTTCTTGGGTTAACATCATGAACTCTATTCTTAAATATAAAATACCACAAAGGTAGGTAGGTACTCACAAGAAATAGATATATAACAGTATAAATATTTACAAATCAGTATACTAACCTTCTTTCTCGCTGTCATATATGCGTATGAGTTCGATCTCCGGCTTACTTCATAGAGAGTGCCAAACAAAATAGAATAAAACAGCTATCTAGCACACTCGAGCTTTCAATTATATATAAATCTCTAACTGATTTCGACTGATGATCAAATTTTGAAATAAGTCAATTTCTTTTTTTAAAAATTTGATTTTGGTTCTCATTTTCCATAGAGTTGTGACTGGTTACCCCTGTGGCAAAGAAAAGAAGACGCTCATCAGTTATACCTCGTTCACTTCGTAGAGTGAAGAAAACTAACAGAACAATGTCGACTAAATCTGCTGAAATGAATTAAATCCTCCAGCTTCGAGAATATAGTGAGTAGAAAGTTTTCTCCAATGAGTTGTATATCAATTTTTCACCCCTGTATGGGTGTATATCTGTTTATATACGTTAATCGTTCAGTAGTAGCAGATTACTCGTCACCACCACTCAGACGGTCTTGGGTTCGATTACTAGTCACCATCAGATGGGCACTCTTAAACCTTGTCTAGCTTTTGGGAGTAAACTAGGAAAAGAGCGAAGTTTAGGCGTGAGGGTGGCCAGCCCTCCACCCTTCTTTTCGAAAACGTCTTTGCTACTGAAACCACTAAGTCAATCTGCACGAAGAATGTTCTTTTCAATAATTTCTCTTCAGGTTCTTACAAATATGAAATATAATATTTGTGGTCGTTACAATAACGATAGCCAGTTATGCGGCGGATACATTTTTAACGTAGAATAACAGATTAACAGTTATGGGGTGTCAAAATAAATAGTCATATTTGTGTGACAAACGTGCTAGGCTGAAATCGATTAGAAAATATTGTAAAATAGGAGACAATGGTGGTGATTAATCATAATAGATTTGTAGAGTGTGGGGTAGGGAAATTGACAAATCAGTTCAGTGTTATCGAAGGTGACAGGTGAGTGGCTAGTACAAAGTGGTCTGTCTTAAACAGGGGGTAGTAAGACTGCAATGAGAGGTTCATAATGAGATAACGAATATGTTAAATGAAACAGGTGGAGGCATATATTAGGAAAACAGATAATATCACTAATAACACCACATAACGCATATATGACAGCGAGAAAGAAGGTTAGTATACTGATTTGTAAATATTTATACTGTTATATATCTATTTCTTGTGAGTACCTACCTACCTTTGTGGTATTTTATATTTAAGAATAGAGTTCATGATGTTAACCCAAGAACCATTTTAAAAATTGCTTTACAATCGAGTCCGACCCCGGTGTATTCGTCATACTTGAAGTGGTATTTCGAGTACTAATCTAACAGTAGAAGACAACAGACTTGATAATGGGATGTTTATGTGGGATTTGATATACACACACATACATATATGGGGAAAGTGTGTGCGCCTTATATTAAAATCATTGTTTGTGTTACTTCCGCCTTTCGTATTTCGTTTCTTCGTCTTCTTTACATGTCTCCCCCCGCCCCACAACACAGGTTCATTCGCCATTTCTCACGTCAACTCTATCTCTCCGCTATTAGATGTTTTTTTCCGATGGACTTCTCTTTATATTATTATTATTGTTCCCTTGGGTTCCTAGTGGAACATAGGTCTTCAATTGCACGTCTTCACTTCCTTCTGTCTTCTACTATACTTTTCACTTGCATCCATGTTAGTCCATACTCTTTCAACTCCACTTCACACGATCTCCTCCATGTCACCCTTGCACTGAAGTCCTACTCGCCGCTTCCCTTTCGGTCTGGTTCCACTCGAGCAATGGCATGACGCGCGCGCGATGTCACCCAGCGGCCTTCTCGGTGAGTGAGTGTCCAATCCATCCATCTCCACTTTCTCCTGCATATTTGTTGGTTGGCGATTGGTTTGTTCTTGTTTTGTTTGTTCCCATAGTTTCCCATGGTTGGTGATTCTTTCCAGCCCGGCAATCTTCGAACCATTATGATCACCGATTGTGTCCAGGAGAATTGTTTGGGATCGTTAAAGGCCTCAAATGAAGGTTAAGGATTCAGTAAGATCAACTTTTCCATAGTTTTTAGAAAAGGAGAGGTAACAGCAACAAGTCTAGATTTAAAACATGTTCTAGTAGATGACTTAAGTATAGGTACAATTTTATTGTTCTTCCAAACGGCTGGCAGGACATTTCTGGAAAAAGATTCATTAAATATGTCACTGAGAGGATAACAAAGGATATCTGCACATTTTTTAAGAATAACGCTAGGCACACCATCTGGAGTTAAGCTACAAGAAAGGTTCAGCGACTGGAGACATTTTAGAACATCATTTGTATTAAAACCAGGGAAGTAGGTTTCATTAACTCTTGTAACACTAGAAAGTTTGGCATTTGTGGGAGAATGTGTGAAAGACTTGTTTAGTGTATACACATCAAATGAATAAGGAATACTATTCATTTGCTTACCACTAGTAATTTCTTTGAAAAGTTTCCATATATGAAAAGCATTTTTACAAGATATAAACTTCTGGTTATAAACAGAATTCAACCTGTACATAAGGCAGCAGCGGTGCATCAAGTTTAGACACAGACGTACATTCCAATTTGTAAAATAAGTATACTCCCAAACTTCCGTACATAACAAATAATAGACACTACACAGTGAGTAGTCAGAGGACTAATCTAGTCAAACCAGGCACCCGATAGTTCAATGAAATGTTCGCCAACCACACAAACAGACGGTACGGATTCGACTCCCACCTCAAACACACTCCTAAACCTCGTCTATAATTAATTAACTAGCCAATGGTAAGGCCAGAATAAAGAGAGAAGGTTGACAGTAAGGCTACCACCTATCCCAACCTTAACACAGACACACTGTTGGGATATCTAGCAGAAAATAAAACCTGTTTTTAAAAAAAGAACAAAGTTAAAACAAAACTATGAAGAGATGATTATTACCTTTGAGAGGAAAGCGAGTTGACAGCCTGACATTTATTAATCTCCAGTTTGTTAGAAATTTTTGGTGTATCCTTGTCCACTGAATTGGATGCTGTTTGAAGCCATTGTATTGTGCCATTAAAGGATTTGCTGACACTACTTCTTGAAGAAGAAGAAGAAGAAGAGACATCATTCATGTCAGGCGATAAAGTGACTGAATGCTTTCGACTTGATGACAGAGTAACTGAAGGTTTCGATTTTGGCGATATCTGACAGCCTATAGATCGTTGTGTACACGGTGAAGAAGGTGTACACTTTGACAGATGAGCAGACAACTGTTCTTCAAGAGCAGTGATCTTTCCCAACTGAAGTAAAAACGAAAACAAAAATGTCGATATTACTAATGATAATAATAATGATAATAGCGAAGACGATAGTTGTATCAGACAGAGGAATAGGTATATCCTGCAACTGTAGGGAGGACTTTCGTCTACAAGTATGAAGTTCGGCGTCATTTTCCTGCAACTTGGCTATATTGTCTAAGCTAATGTCTATCGAAGATATAAGCTGATTAACATCACATCGAGACAAAGAATCGGCTACGACATTGGAATCTCCTTTGATAAACTGGATGTCTGAGAATTGTGATATGTAATCCAGTTGTCTGGCTTCTCTCGGAGTGTCTGTCCAACGAAGTGGTAAAAGCATAACAAAGAGGCTTATGGTCGGTTAAGATAGTAAAATGTCGACCTTGTACTAAGAAGCTGAAATGTTTCACTGCTAGATAGATAGCTAACAGTTCTCTGCTAAAAGTGCTGTAACGAGTTTGCGCAGGTTCCAACTTCTTGGAGAAGAAAGCAAGTGGAGGGATGTCATTGTTGAACTTCTGTTGTAAAACTGCTCCCACAGCTACCTGCGATTCGTCTGTACATAGGATGAGTGAGGCTTCTGGGTTGATGTGAGACAACATTACAACGTTGGATAAAGCATCTTTTGCATTATTAAATGCTGCTTTTGCTTCTTCAGACCACTGAAATTTCTTCGGATCGCATCTAAGTAGGTCGGTCAGTGGCTGAGCTATGGAGGCACACGATGGAATAAAACGTCGATAGAAACTGAACATCCCGAGAAAACGTCTAAGTTTCTTTACGGAATCTGGTTCGGAAAAGTTCTTAATAGTTTCTACCTTTTTCTCCTTAGTTCTAATACCATTGGCGGTTATGCGGTGTCCCAGAAACTGTATAGAGGAGACACCGAATATGCACTTTTGGGGTTAATGACGACTCCATATCGGTCAAATCGCTAAAATTAGATGGTGAGCTGATCACTATGTTCTTCAGGCGACGAGCTAGCAATTAAAACGTCATCGATGTATACAAATACAAAGTCCAAACCTTGTGTGACCTGATCCATGAAGCGTTGGAAGGATTGTGAGGCGTTCTTTAGACCAAATGGCACGCGCAGAGATTCGAACAAACCGAAAGGTGTGATGATGGCCGTTTTTTCGATATCCTCTGTGGCAACTGGTATTTGGTGATAGGCCCTGATCAAGTCTACTTTAGAAAAAATGGTTTTTCCATGTAATGTCAGGGAGAAATCATGAAGGTGGGGAATCGGGTAACGGTCCGGAACTGTGACATTGTTTAAATGTCGATAATCCCCACATGGCATTCAATCATGATCAGCTTTGGGCACCATGTGTAAGGGTGAAGACCAAGGACTATTGGAGGGTCTAATGATGCCGAGCTGCATCATGTGCTTGAATTCTGCCTTAACGGCTGCTATTTTGTCCGAGGGTAATCTACGAGGACGAGCAAGAACCGGTTGACCCGTGGTAACAACCTTGTGAGTGACTGTATGAGGGACGTCCTCGATGTTACACGACGGTTTAAGTATTTTAGGGAAACGATGGAATAGGGCGGAAAAAATGTAATCCGCTGGTCTTTCGATGTTGATATTATAGACAGAATAATCGGAGATAATTCCATGGATCTTTAGTTGGGTGTTGTTATCAATCAGTTTTTTATTGTTGACATCAACTGACAGATTGAAATTACTTAAGAAATCAGCCCCGAGTATGGCATGACCGATGTCGGCTACTATGAAATTCCATGTAAAACGTCGATGTAAACCCAGTTCCACTATAAGAGATTGTTCCCCATACGTCTGTGTGCTTTTGTGGTTGGCTGACCCGAGGGACAGTTTTCCTGATGTCCGTGTAGATCGCCTGGATAGTGAAGAGGGGATCACGCTAACTTCTGCTCCAGGAATAGTGTCTGAAGTTTTGTCCTTCACATAGAAAAGGTGACTTGTTTGCTTGCCAGTAACAGCTGTCGCCATCACTGTCTGGCTGAGACGTTTCCCTGAGCCTGATTAGCTTCTTTAAAGATGCATAGTTTTACACATTTCAGGGCATGACGTCCAAACTTCTTGTGATACCGACATATATTTCTGTCCCGAGAAGACGTGTGGGAACGCTGTCGTGAGAGAGATCGGTGTCGTGATGGTGACCTTGCTTGTGAACTCCGTCTCCGGACTCGTCGATCAGACCTATTAGTTTCCAACTTGTCAATCCTTGCCGCTAAGTCTGCACTATCAGATGCTTTGTGACCTATGGTGTTATCAGATAGAACATCCATAATACTATCTGCCATGTCATTTAGTGGGTCTAAGTCATACGACTTTCCTGAGATGATTAAAATTTGCTGGACATTTTAAGGTAAACGATGCAACCACACCTGTTTCAGCACTACCTCGTCCACTTTATGGTGTCCGATTAACTGGCGCATGTACCTGAGGAGCTGGGATGGTTTACGTGGGCCTAGTTCACAGCCCGTGAGTAATTGTTGGATATTTTTGTCATCTGACAAACTGGTGCGTTGTATAAGGAGGGCTTTAAGTATTTCAAATTGGTTTTCCGTCGGGGGGTTTTCGATGAAGTCGCTGATTTCTGTCAATACTGAAGGAGGGAGTTCTGCCAGCACTACACCATATTTGGCTACCTTTTTTTCATTTTTGATTGCAGCTTGATTCCACACTGTATTTTCGGTACAAGTATGGAATTTTCAGCATGGATATCGGTAGCCCAAATTTTGCAGGCAGGGGATCGAACCTCGGACCATGTGCATGGTCGGCGAGAGACCTAACCACTGTGCCACCGACGCCCCGTGCTTCTCGCAACGGCTCAATTACTGCAAACCAAATCCTGGGTTCTGCGAAACCGTACTGCGGTAAACAGAAATCAGTGATGGCATTTATTGTGGCATTTGTCGCGGTACTAGTTGTCTGCTCGGTTGAGGTACCAGACTGACGTGACGACATTATAGATATGAGAATGTTAGTGCAAAATAGGACACAAATATAAGACCACACACAAAATCACAATGAATATACAAAATGGTTAAAATAAGTATATAGGTACGTGAAAATAATCCGTGTCCTAAACGGGATCACTAATTTTGAGGTGGACCTTAGAGTCTGTTATAACAGACTAAGCTATAGCTTAGTATCCCAAATTTAAATAGGAAATTAAATTCCAAATCAGTTAAGTTACTGGTAGAATATAATAAAGTTTTGTTACCTGTGTATTTACAAGGTCCAAAATCCACAATTAACGTAATAGACTCCAGAGGTATTGCGAAGAGACCGCTCCAATAGTAATTCTCCAATGTTGATGTTACCAGGGGTAGACCAAAGCACGTAGGAAGAAACTACGGTGCTCCTGCAAAATTTGAGATAGAAAGCAGGTGGTTAGAATTGATCGATGGCAGTTGAGATGGTGGAGAAGACAGAGAGCCGAAGGCAGAACTATATTTCCATTCAAAACACGATGTAAAGCCCAAAGTACAGAGATAATGATTAAAACAAAGTAATCTACAATTTGTTCATTTCTTCCATAGTAGTGAAAATTGAAAACGTTTATTTTTGAGGACTCCACATATATATAAAAACAACAACAAAACCAAAAAGAAACACAAAAATAACAAAAAATGCAAATGAAAATACCAAGTAGAAAGGAAGATAAACACCAACAATGAAAAATATTTCAGTATTTGGTGGTCGAAGCTAGGATATGTGTATGCGTGGTGAACAGCAACAGCTATAATCCTACGAAAAGTTAAGAAATGATATTAAGAATGTTTATCGCATGATCAGTTAATTTGATTGAACTACACTTAACAATCATAAAATGAACATTTCAGGCTTTTTTTATAGTCAGCACTAATGCAGTGTTTGTTGTGGTAGTGTGAGTAATCATGCATAATACAAAGTTTTAGGATGGTGATAACGGCGTTCACAAACACGATTGTCAGTTTCAATATTGCCGAACAAAAAAACAATCACAAAAACTAATATCACATGAAGGCTGTTGGCAGGATAATTTTGTAATACTCATAGTGCTAATATAGTCGGGACCAGTAGATAAACAAAAGAAGGAATAGAATACTGAATAAAAAAGTAAGCCAATCATAATAATTTTAGGTAGCTAAGTATGTTTAAGAAGGTTGCTCACCATAGAATACAAATAGGAGAGAATATGGGAGAAATAAAAGGGCCAAAATTATGTTATTAACAACAAAGCAAGTCATAGGTTTCGCGCTTAACATTGTCTCGGTCACTTAGAACACGGGCTAGCCAAATATGGTATCGTTGAGTTTCTATACTTGGTTGTACGAGCATATATTATTTTATACTGGTTTCTGGTTCTACCTGATGAGATGCAAAGAGAGAGTTGGGAATAGAGGGGGTGTTGGGGGTCAGAGAGTATGGTTTTTGACCATTTTTCGCATGTATTCAGATGCTTATCTACTAACGTAGTGACGAGCTGACTGAGTTTTACACCACTAGTCCTACTAACTACCTTCAACATCCTTCTCAGGATGGTATAGTCCTTTTTCAGTAACCCAGGGAAGACTAACAGGGAACAGTAAAGTAGAATAGGTAGGATACGAGAGTTGACAAATTGTGAAAGCAGAGGTTGAGTGACCCCAGTTAGTCTGACTTTCTTAATGTTGTAGGTTAGACGAAACACTTTCTTAGAAATCATTTGGATATGGGATGACCAAGTAAGGTCGGAAGATAGAACTAATCCGAGGTATTTTGCATTAGACTTAGTTTCAGTTTTAGTCCCCTCAATGCTACAGGCTTCATGAGTGCTTACTAGTGTTCGTAAATCTCGTTTGTGCCTAAAGGAGAAGTCAATAGTCTGGCATTTTGAGGGATTCAGCATGAGGCCATTTAGTTTAGACCACCGACTGATGTCAGACAGGAAGCTACTTAATTTGAAGCAGTCTGACTGAGACTTGATGGGAAGCGAAACAGTCAGATCATCTGCATATTTGACGAAGTTAATTTCGTCTCAGAGAGGTAAGTCATGTGAGAAGAAGAAAAAAGAAACTGCGAGAGAACAGCACCCTGAGGAACACCAGCTTCAGTAAGCAAAGGAGAGGAAGCTACACCATTATATACCGTGTACTGAATTCTATTGGAGAAGTAAGAGTGCAGCCAGGACTCAGTTTGTGTAAGGCTAAGCTTGTTTAACAAAAGGCCTCTAGGTACAGAGTCGAAAGCAGATGTGTAATCAAGGAACGTACAACGGATATACTTGGCCCCCTTTTCTAAGGAGGACACAATGTTGTGATGAAACACATCAGGGTCTAAAGTACTTCTACCCTGATTTCAGGCAAACTGCTTTGGATTATTTGAGAAGCTTCAGGAGCCAACAAGTTTTTGTAACAATAATTTCTCCATTAGTTTCAAAAAACGAGAGGTAATAGCAAAAGGTCTAAACTTAACACCATTTCCAGAACCAGACTTCGGCACAGGTACGTTAGTCCACCCAAATACAAGATGTGGCTTCCGGAATGTAGCCTGCTTGCTTTGGTCCAACGAGAAATTTGTGTAGTATGGTAAATATTTTACACATAATTCTGGTAAAGGCCTTGCATATTCATGATAGGGGTCAAAAACAACTACCACCAAGGGACAGTGTATTTCAGATTTCAGCCCATTAGTTATTTTGACGCTAAGGGTGGTATGCATCCAAGTTAAAAGGACTGGTATCCCCTCTGTGTCATATGATCTGGCACTTGAATGCCAAATGAACTTTGCTACTCTCATTGGTCCATACGTCTTTTGGAGGAATTCAGAGCAGTCCTTCGTAGATGATCAGAATTTGTTGATCACCCATGAACGTAAGGAACCATAAACACCGTCTCAAGAAGCTATCCCCCCGTATAACCGATCCACTGGTTACAATCTTCAAGCTATCTCTCCAAAATGCGCTGTTGCTGTCATACCGGAAGGACGCTATTTCAACCTCGATCCACAAAGTAGGATAAAGACAATCCCATTCAAACTACACGCCAGTTATTCCCACCAGCAACCTAAACAAGAGGCCGGAAAGAATCATCGAGGAAGCTATCATGGCATGTCTGGAGGACAAAAATCTGATATTCAAAGCACAAAACGGCTCCCGAGGGAACCTCTCATGCCTCTCAAATCTTCTCACCGCAAAAAAGCTGAGTCAAATCAAGGGACAACAGAAGGCCAGTCAACGACGTCTTCATTGGCTTCAGCTGAGCCTTTGATGAAGTTCCTCACAAAAGACTCCTCAAGTATTTCCGAGGTCTTGGAACCAAAGCAAGTTTAGTAAACTGGATTAGGTAATTTCTCATAGATGGGAGGCAGAGGGCCATGAAGAACTCTCCTCCTGGACAACAGTACAGAGTGGAGTGCCACAAAGCACTGGAGTCGGGCCTTTCTCATTTATTTTGTATATCAGTGAGTTATCTCTGCTCACACATTTAAGCTTAAATGTGTTGTTCTAAATATTACTATGGGAACATTTGATAAAATCACCAGACATATGTTCACCTCCTTATATACATTTCTGGTGAGGCCTAGACTGGAAAACAGTATCCAGGTAACCAGCCCCTGTCTTAGAGAGGACTGATATATTCTAGAAAGGGTTCAGAGGAAGGCAACACGTATGAATCCTGGCATGACTAGTCTGTCATACTACGGAAGACTAAACAGTTTAAATCTCTTCCCCCCGTTGTATCGTAGGCAGAGAGTAGACTTGATTACAATGTTTAAAAATTTAAATAATGACTACGGACTGATGGATTCCCTTTAAAGTGCTCTGACAGCTTGAGAATTAAACATTAGTTTGGATCCTCAACACAAAAAATAATAAGGGTTGTACACATCTAAATTATAACTAAGGTTTCTGACGGTTGTCTCCCGACTTCTTTCTGAACAGCGACCGATGAGACGTCGACTGGCGTATTGTTGCCTGCTCGAAAATTATGGGGAGGTTGGTCTTGAGCGAGAACCTGGGTCACACGGACAGAGCTGAAATGGAAAACAAACAGAAAAGCCAACACACCACAAGCATACCCACAGCACAATCTCACACATTAATGACGACCTGCGCCTCCAGACAGAGACCTCCTCTTGACAACTTGCAACACAATCGCCACTTACTAGAATGACTCTTGTGTAAGGGCTTATGGGGAATTGTCATCTGAATTAGTAACAACCAGTGGTGTCCGACAGGGATGTTCACTTTCCCCATTTCTGTTTAACTTCATCATAGATATGCTAATGGAAGTATCCTTAACTGAACGTAGTGACTTAGGAATCGACTTGTTACCAGGGAATAATCTAATGGACTTAGAATATGCAGATGACATAGTCCTGTTAGGGGAGGATGCTGACAAAATGCAGAGTCTTCTGAACACCTTGAGCAGCAATCTTCGTATGTTTGGCATGCGATTCGCCCCTACAAAATGTAAGATGCTGCTACAGGACTGGACGACGTCAACCCCTAACTTAGTGATAGGGAATGAAGTGATAGAACATGTTGACCACTTCACCTACTTGGGAAGTTGTATTAGCACCAACGGACTGATTGGCGATGAAATCTCAGCACGGATCCGAAAAGCTCGAGCTGCTTTCGCTGACTTACACCATCTCTGGCGTAGGCGTGACATCCGGTTATCAACCAAGGGACGTGTGTACTGCTCATCAGTTCGCTCCGTCCTTCTCTATGGCTCTGAAACATGGCCAATACGCGTTGAAGACATGAAAAGGTTGACTGCTTTCGATCATAGATGTCTGCGATCTCTGTCTCACGTTAGGTGGTTTCACAAGATAAGTAATGTTGACGTTAGGCGTAGAGTGTTGGGCAAAGAGGGAAAATCAATCGACGAGGTTATAAAGTTACATAGACTAAGATGGCTAGGTCACGTGGTGCGCATGCCTAACCACCGCCTCCTCCGACGGGCATTGTTAGCTGATATAGGTTCAGGTTGGAAAAGAGCCAGTGGTGGCCAAACAAAAACATGGCATCAATCCATGAAATGCTTGACAGTTAAACTGAGTCAGGTAGGGAGATGCAGACTCCCGGGTTGGGGCCCTCGGGACTCTAGGAATCAATGGCTGGAGACAATAGGTGACATGGCTCAAAATCGTTGTCAATGGCGCAGATGTATTCAATCTCTGTAATCTTTCATATTCCTTTCTACCATTACCCATTCTGTTTCACTCCTATATTTGTCAAACTCTATTAATTCTCTCCACTCATCTTCTTGTCTACCTCTGTGTGCTATTTGGAAGGTGGCAACTCGAACTGGTGCACTTCGGTGCCAAGTTCTATGTTGAATCCAGACAGACAGACAGAATGACTCTTGCAGAATGCAAAGTGACCATGGCAGCACCTCACGATACTCTACGCACATCCTCTTATCTACTCACTACCAATTACCACTGAAATCGCTTGTCACTCATTCTGCCTCAGTTCTAGTAGCGGTGACTCATGCGAGCCTCAGTCGTTTACACTCTTTCTCCCCGGCGTGTCGGACCGCAGCTAACAATTATCTCCGTGTGCATTTCATTCTCAGCAATAGCCTAGCCTCCCCGGCGTATACTACCCATCTGCTGTCTCTAACATCAATCAATTCATTCATGGATGTAGAAGACTCGAAACAACTTCAGAAATAATCACGATGGAAATTTTAACAAAATTACGCAATAACAACAAGACACGAAAACAACAAGTAAACACAATGAATCCAAAACACCACCAAATGATATGACACACCACACGTATATGCAGACAGTACAAACAACCTCGCCGATCATGTCTTGGTGGAATTCCTTTGAAGAATTGCAGGACTTACACCAGTACGCCTGCAACCCTTCTCAGGTTGACGATTGTAGGTTGTGGAATGTCCGGACACAAACAAGATTAACCAACAATCACAATAATTGGAACTCACACAACTACTTAACACAAACATATGTACAATCAGTACATCAAATGTTGCGGATTCTGGCACGACAAACTACCCTTGAAGAACTGTAGGACTTACAGCAGTACGCCTACATTCCTTCTCAGGTTGATGATCCAGGGGGAAGTCGTCCGGACACAAACAGAATTACCAACAGCTAGATGGCAGACGATATCAATTCAGTATATACAATATTAACATATGTACAAAATCACACACCAAGCACATTGGACTGCTCATTGATGCGCTACCCTTTGAAGAATTGTAGGACTTACAGCAGTACGCCTACAACCCTTCTCAGGTTGACACCCTAGGTTGGACAATCGTCGCAGAGTTCATTTGCTAACTTCCTTCTATCAGCTATATCCTTAAATCTGAACGGCAACACGCCCATGTCATTGTATCGTAGAATATAGATGACCAACAAACACACGACATATCTCATCAACCAAATGTAGAAACAGAGTAATTTACACCAAAGATAATAGCATTCAAATAGAAACATGAAACTAGAAATGCCTTTATTCGTGCGAGTCAATTTAACAATGACGACCTGCGCCTTCCAGTTAAAGGCATCCTCTTGACATCTTGCAACACAATCGCCACTTGCTAGAATGACTCTTGCAGAATGCAACGTGACCATAGCACCAACTCATGATACTCTACGCACATCCTCTTATCCACTCACTACCAATTATCTCTGCAATCGCTTGTCACTCATTCTGCCTCAATTCTAGTAACGGTGACGTATGCGAGCCTCAGTCGTCTACACTCTTTCTCCCTGGCGTGTCGGACCGCAGCTAACAATTATCTCCGTATGCATTTCATTCTCAGCAATAGCCTAGCCTCCCCGGCGTATACGACCCATCTGCTGTCTCTAACATCAATCAATTCATTCACGGATGTAGAAGACTCGAAACAACTTCAGAAGTAATCACGACGAAAATTTTAACAAAATGATGTAATAACAACATGGTACGAAAACAACGAGTAAACACAATGAATCCAAGAAACACCAATTGATATGACACAACACACATATATACAAACAATACAAATAACCTCGCGGATCATGTTTGGGGGAATTAATTTGAAGAGTTGCAGGATTTACACCAGTACGCCAACAACCATTCTCAGGTTGATGATTGAAAGTTGTGGAATGTCCGGACACAAACAAGATTAACCAACAATCACAATAATTGGAACTCACACAAGTATTTAACACAAACATATGTGCAATCAGCACATCAAATGTTGTGGATTCTGGCTTGACGAACTACCCTTGTAGAACTGTAGGACTTACAGCACCATTTGATGCAGTAAAACAACTTAACATAACCTTATCTAGTTTTCGCATCCACGATCAAATTTCCTTCCTGTTATAAAACTACGATAAGACTACTGAAAAAATGGAATAAATATATCACCGATCTCAACATAACACATCAATAATCTTTAAGCCAAGGGTGCTGTTCACAACAAAGTTATATAAGAGAATTGACTTCAAGCTTTATTTTTCCCAGATATTTGTATTACATTCATCTGATGTCTGGGTTTTTTGTTAATGCGAAGACAATATTTCTATATTTCTTTATGTGCTACACAAACAGACTTTATAGCAGACTGTTCCGACTGACTCTAATGTCAGAAAGAACAACCAAACTGTAAATTCATCACACATCAAATTATGTGTAATTTATATAATAACTTATCCATGCCTGTACAATTGGTATGTTCCTGCATAAACAGGAGGAAATATATATTATTATTAAAACTGAATGTAATCGACATATTGGTGGACTAAATGATTATCCTTATTCGGTTTCGTTAGAATAATTATCCGAGTACTATTTCACTCATCATTCTGTCTTATGATTAACTTAGTAAAATGGCGTTTATTTTCGGATCCAAATCACTAAATAAAGGTAAATATCCCTAAGGGTTTCTTGATAAAAAGATTAAATTTTCGTCAAAGTAGGTAAATATGTTCATATCTAGATAATACTTTGGTTTGGAGTTGTTTTTTCTACTACCACAACACCACGTGACTCACCATTTCGTCACAAAGTAAAACTAGATCTGTCAAAGACAGTCTGCTCCTGACTTCTAGGTTTCGTTAAGGTAGAACTGTATACATAGGTTAATAGGTCATTAACTTCAGATACGCATTAATATCTAAATGTCATACTCCTCCTGTCACGCTACTCCATGTAATAATAGTTTGATAGTTATTTACGAATGCAGTAATGAGTATTTCGTGGGCCACGAGTAGCATTTGGTATTCAGGAGAGGTATGGGCACTTAGTGATTGTAATTTGGAGAACTAATACGACAAGGTTAGCTTTCTTCTAATATATACGCACCTATCAATGCAATGAAAAGATAATGACGAATTGTTATCACAAGCATTATATTTACTATGGAGGGAATGTTATTACAGGTCAACTTCATAGTAACATGTACAAGTCTTGCATGTCATTGCATCAGTAATATTAGCATACGAATTGTGTTACGGAAAATGTAAATAATCTAAAGTCATCGTGACAACTTTACGGGAGGTAGATGTATTGAAAGACTGCTTGCAGACACTATGTATGACGACATCTAGTAGAATGTCTACGAAGATTGACAACCTGCAATGAGGAAGGCAAAAATGAAACAATTAGGAGACACATAACGCACAAGATATGTATTTTTGATATAAGTATAAAACCTGGGCACTGTGGTAGAGTATAACTTCATTATGGATACGATTTTATTTTGATAAATAACACAGTGTTGCACAGCAATATAATCTGATGACGCTTCCAGCACAAATTATTGCTCATAATCATATCAAGTCAGTCACACAACTTTTTGCCTCATTCATATACATGAGTATTTTAGTTAAGCGTACTACAGGGATAAGAGGTCACTGATCTCATTCACTTCTATTCACACTGTCTCTTACGTCCGTGTAACTGACTTTCGGTTTATGTTTTCCTCTTCGGTGCACTTTATCTGGACAATTTAACGAGTTGGGAAATGCATAGAGTACTTAGCAAACGGCATGAATAATTGTTTAAGCTAATTAACACTAGTGAGTTGTGACACTACGCATCTGCACTGACAAAGCTGACTGACTGAGTATTAACATGGAACTCAGCCCAGAAGTGCAGCAGTTCAATTTTTTACATTCCACACTTGAAAAATATTATATTTAGTTGGTAATAGGCAAAACATATTTCATCAGATGTGTTTCGACTTCGCATTTCGGCTACGCGATAAAATTAACTAACTCATGAGATACAACGAGACAGAGTGTGAGAGTTATCTCGGGTAAGAGGAGAAATTATTGTACGATAACACTTTTTCAGTTAGACAAGAACCAAATGAAAAAATACGATTACCATTTGTTGACATTATCTTATTTTTATCCACGTTTTAGCATTTCATTATACCTGGACTATAGATCATTCTGACAGACTGACTTTCAACATAGAAGCTTGCACAGAAGTGCACCCGTTTAAGTTATCACATTCCACGTAGCACACAAAGGTAGAGGAAAAAAGAAATTAACTGGAACTCTAATTAGCATAGATGTGATGAAAACGGACATACCCCTGTTTCGTATGCCTATCTCCGTGCGATCGTGAGATAAGCGACCAACTATGGAAATCCTCTTCCTTTTCACAGAATCTTAACGAAAACGATGAAGGCTTTAAGCACCGAACACTCGATATACCGGTCAGACCATCATCTAACTTTCATTTAACCTCAGCCGAATCACATCATCATCTCCTTCATTTTGCCTCAGCCCTTACCACTAATCAAAGATCATTTACTCTTTTCCTTATAAACGCTCGTTCTATCTGCAATAAAATTCCATACCTTCACTCCTTACTTTAACATTGTAAGCCCTCAGTACTGTTAGTTACCGAGACTTGGTCACCATCTGACTTCAATGACAGACTATTAGAGTCACCAGGATACATACACTTTAGACATGGCAGAGAAGAAGGACGTGGTGGTGGTTGTCTTATCTTTGTTAGCAACAAATTCCACGATGTAGAAGTCGATGATTTGGGTTGCTCACTGACAGATGCAGTATGGGTTACACTCAACACCAACTTAAATACAAGACTCTTATTGGGATGTATATATCGCCCGCCCAATTCTGATACTAACACAACGAACCGTCTATGTGAAATTTTCGAACACGTCTCCTCTCTAAATTTCGACTATAAAATTATAGCTGGCGACTTTAACATGCCTTGTATACAGTGGAATAGCCTTAAGGTTCCTAAATACACTGAAAGTTTTACAAATTCGGTTGAACTCTATGGATAAACACAAAATGTTATTCACCCCACACGTAAATCCAACATCTTAGATCTAATCTTCACACATAACATTCTACCCGTCAGCACTCGAGTTGGGCCTTTATTCCCTGGCAGCGACCACAACGCGGTCATTTCCACCTTTAACCTAACAGCAGGTGGGTCAGGCAAAGGCCGTCGTCGGACAGTAAAAGTCAGAAACTTTTCAAAGGCCAACTGGGAAACAACGCGGTCTTTTATTCGTTGCCAAGACTGGGACACCATTTTCTCCTCGGCAGACACTGATACTGTCCTTGGCAGTTTCTACTCCAACATATCTGTTTGCTTCAACGAATCTATCCCTTGGTATACATCCAAACGCAACTGTTTAGATCAACTATATATACCGAATGCTACCAGGAATAAGCTAAGAAGACTCCGTAGAACCTATAATAAATCTATGGACTTCTCCTCGCTCATTAGCATCCTAAAGGTATATGATAAAATCAGATCAGATAATGCCGTTAAAATTTACAAAGAAGAACTTATCGCCTTTAAAAGTAACTCCAAAATTCTCTCCTATTGCAAACTCTTTCAAAAAAGACTAAAACAAAAACAAGGCAACATTCCTTACATTCTTCATAATAATGTCGTTGTTTAGGATGATGCAGGCATAGCTGAACTCTTTAACAAGCACTTTTCTGACTCATACACGCACGATATTTCTGGATGCATAGAATTTGACCGTTAACAAGAAAAATACTGTCAAATATATGCTTGACTGTTGATGTTATAGAAAGTGCAGTGCGTTCAATGAAATTCTCCAATACTCCTGGACCTGACTCAATTCCGTCATCCTTCCTAAAACATGGTGGCTCCGATCTACCTCTCCTTTTGCTTAAAGTATTCTCAATATCCCTTATGAACGGAGTTTATCCTTCCAAATGGAAGCAGACATATATTGTCCCTAGATTTAAATCCGGCTCAAAATGTGATGTAAAAAATTACAGGCCAATCAATATAACGTCTGTCTTGTCTGGAATACTTGAGAAGATAGTCAGTACAAAAATCACTGACTTCTTATTGACTGAAAACCTCATAACACCTTCTCAACATGGTTTTATAAAGTCCAGGTCATGTATGACTTGCCACCTGGAACTATTCGATTTTATAACTGGAAAAAAAAAAAAAAAAAAAAATTTGCTCATTGTGTATATCGATCTTAAGAAGGCATTCGACAAAGTATGTCATGATTTGCTCCTGAAAAAGCTTAAGGCTTATGGTATATCTGGCAATCTCTTAGACTGGTGTAATTCGTTTATGCGTGGTTGGTCCCAGTCTGTTAAGATTAACGACACTTTTTCCAGTACCACTCCTATATCAAGTGGCGTAATTCAAGGTAGTGTACTAGGACCTCTCTTCTTTCTTATATACCTAAATGACGTCTGTGGTGTTATAAAGCATGGCAGACCCTTCTTATATGCCGATGACTTGAAAGTAGTCTACTACAGTACCACCCAAGAACTGACAAATCTTTCTTATAAAATCCAATCGGATATTGATAATATTGAGATATGGTGTAAGTCGTGGATGATGCAGATCAACGTGCAGAAGTGTGGTCTGTTATGCTCAACTCGCTTACGTATCGCACCACACATAACTGTATACGACAAGCCTATCACTATCTTTCCTTCTGTACTTGACCTCGGGCTCTGTTACTCTGCCGATTTTAAATTCTCTCTCTATGTCACCAACCAAGTCTCTAAAGCCAGGAGATTACTCGGATTTATATTTCACAACTCTCAGACCAAAAATCTGAAAGTCCCCTACAAAAATCGTTGCGCAAATCTTAAGATCGAACACCTTTGGTTCAGGCGTCACCGACTTAACCTCATTCTCCTATTTAAAATTCTCAAAGGAATAGTATACTTCC